GTGACACCGTGTCACCTGCGACACACACACACACAGCACGTATGATTTTGCCGGTTTCAGCTGCTGGTTGTTAATGTTGCAGACAGATCCCACTGTAACAGACTGCGGCTGTGCTTGAAGGTCATAACATGTTTTCATTCATTAACCTATCGTATTTCCATGAAAACATAGCTATGTAGGCAGAAGTCATTTGTCGAGATTGCTGTAAGCAAAACATTTTCAACCTCAGTTTATCACAGAGAAGCAGCTCTCCTCAGCCTCACAAAGAAAATAAATGGAGGTCATTTAATTTGTGACTTTACTCTCAAATAAAGCTTTGTCTATATTTGCAAGTGCATTCATTTTCAGCTTCGGGATTCAGAAACTGTAAGGAATAAATTGATTGGTTTATTTACTTATTTGACAGCGAGGAAAACTTCTCAAGTCGGCAGCAGTCATTGTTCACAAGAGTAAAGTAACGTCTCTCGGTCTGGCTCTCTAGGAACCTCAGTGTGCTGTTCCCATGGAAACAAGTTTTATACTGAGTAAATTGTGTGTGTGTGTGTGTGGGGGGGGGGAGTGCATACTTTACTTCAGTTTTTTCAAACAAAACAGATGAAAGAATAAATTGGATGTATAACTGATAGCCATTAACTTAACTTAGGGCTGATTTAAAGTGTGTGTGGGTGCGCACACATGTGTATGTGTATTCCAGGACTGAACAATGATTACCTTGACCTTCAACAACCTCTTGAAGCTAAACCTGCATTTCCTGCAAAGTTTGGGACATTAAGAGAATTCACAATGACAAAATGTTTTTTTCTGGTTCTCGGGGCCTTTAAAGACAATCACTCTTCTAAGCAAGGTCATAGTTGTTGTTTTTTTTAATTGCAATTCTTGCAGTTGTAAAATTATTGCAGTAACAAAAGCTCAGATTAAAACTGATTTTCAACTGACCTACCTTCAAGTTTATATTTCCATATAATGTAATGTAATGCAATCTAATATAATATAATATAATATAATATAATATAATATAATATAATATCATATTCTGTTTTTGTTCTTAAAAGTCGGACCATTAAGTTATTTGAAAAAGAAAAAAAAAAGAAAATCATTCATTTTACAATTTTAAGTCCTCTATGACCTTGGAAAATAGACACTGAATATCTAATATATATAACAAATCGCAATTTTTAGTTTAACCAGTTAAATTTATCAGATTTTAATAGCTAAAGTTATCAGATAATTCATAAATTACACAGTGGAACATGTATTTTAAGCATATTTTGTTTTACCTAAAAGCTGAATATCATGCACGTCCAGACAAATGAAGGGCACATACCCATGTTCCCCCAAAGAGTTAATATTAGCTACCCTTTCAGCCGTGACTGCCCCATCACCTTAATAATAACACATTAACAGAGGTCAGTTGACAACCAGCTACCAGTTTGTACGTACTACACACAGACGTTTGTCTGTAACACATCATACTACTTCAATTGGGGCTTGAAGGTAAGTCTGCTTGTCTTACATGTAAGTATTTTATCTTCATTCAAGCAGCTTATTTGTAATTGCATTAGTCACACTGCAATGCAAACACTTCAAGACAAAATGAAGAGCCCGGATGAGCCTCAAAGGAGTAAAGCGGATGGCGAGAACAACAACTGGGAGCAAGAAAATCAATCGGACACATCCCATAATAAGAGCCCGCTCCTTTCGGATCCATGGAAACCATGCAGACGGCACCGTGCTGTTGTCAAAGGTCAGAGTGACGTTGGAAAATCGTTATAATCTGATCAATACTGATGCAATCAATCTATCTGAGAGCAGCCATGTGCAATCTTAATCAAGTATGTAGTTTTACGCTGGAGCTCCAGTTTGGTTTGACCTCAATCTGAAAAGTCATACATTGATCAGAATCTTGAACTCAATAACAGAGTTTATTGATAAGATATTATCACATCTTTTAAATATGTATTTTCTGCTCTAAGGACAGGGTGCAACACTGAATCCTAATTACTGATTTGATATCTTATTAATATTCAGTTCTCATACCCAAGTATAATCGTTTGCTGTTATATTTCATACTATACATCTGGTGATTTAACTTTCATATTATATTTTTATACTTCTGTTATTTCAGTTATACTAAACTGTCATTTGATTTCATTGTTACTTGTGTATCCAACCACAGAGCTGCGCACAATCCTTGTTTTTTAGATTCATGCAAGGCTTGGGTCAGGTCACTTAACTTGAAACAACAACTACAGAACCACTCGTGCTAATACTGAAGTAAGTAAAAACATTCTTTACTGCAGTAGAAGTACAAATACTAGTGCTAAAATATTCCTGTTACCTTTACACAAATATATGTGGTAGAAACATCCTCCAAAGAGCTACTTTATACTTTGAGTACATTTCAGATCCTGTACTTTTTCACTTTTATTTGAGTAAAGAGGTTGAATCAGTACTTCAGCTTTTTCTGGAGTGTTTTTTAGCACTAGTGTCTGTAGTTCTACTCAAGTACAGCATGTTTGAACATATTAGTGTTTGTTCTGATGGGTGCTTACTTCAATATTAGCTTATGCGATTCTGTAGGTGTTGTTTCAAGTTAAGTTATCTGACTCAAGCCTTGCACAAATGGAAAAAAATAAGGATTGTGCACAGCTCCATAGTTGAATACACAAGTGTGGGGGAAATCTGTCCCCTGTGTTCTGGAAGAGGCACCCTAGAACACGTCAGCAGCTGCCCGAAGGCCCGGGCGATGGTCGGTATCGTTGGCGTTCCTGCGATCCAGGGGCTTTGCAGGATGATCACTGCAAAGTTCTCTGCTGGCTGGGTGTGGCTGGGGCAACCAAAAAGAATTCCATCCAGGCTGTGAGTGAAGCGGCAGAGAAAGCCACAAGGTGGCTGTGGATTAAGAGGGCTGATCCGTTGGTAGCTACTGGTATGCAAGTCAAGGCCTGATCACCATCGGGTGGCTCACCTGAGCGAGGGTCTGTGATGTTGTGAGACCCAAAACAACTGATTACCCCAGGATACACCACTGAGGGAATGGGTTAAATGCAGAGAGGAATTTCCCCACGTGGATCAATAAAGTATACCTTATTATTATTATTAACCTCTTAAGCCCCAAGCCTACCTGATCTCCTGCCTTTTGCCCCCGTATCAGGGGGCGTTGGAGCTTAAAGCGCTATACAAATACAGGCCATTTACCATTTAAGAGGTTAACTCCAAGTGGACAAACAAAAGTAGAACAAAACAAGATGAAGACAAAAAATATCCTTAGTTTTGGCCTATTTTTAATATGATCATTTATGTTCAATACGTTGGGGTGCTCATACGACTGTGACCCAAGTGTTTATATTTTCAGATTGTTTTGTACAATCTAATTCAAAGGCAACAACTAGAAGGCTGGAATCAAACAATGCAAACTAACCTAAAAGATTCAAACCTGCTCTGGAAACTGCTGAATCGAAGCTGAACTGAATCCAATCTGATGAAAAATGTAAAACTTTAATGCTCCACAGCTTTCCAAGTAATTGTGAACTTTACCTTTTAACTTTACCACCTCTGTAACATCTCAGCACAACGCTGTTGCTCTGACATGCTAAACCTTTTTGTTTCCTCAGAGCTGCTGTTGAAGCTGAGGTGTTGTCTGGGAACAGTGTGTGGGATTGAATGGTATGGCTACGCTGCTCTGGGTATTTTGACTGCCATCCTCAGTTTCCTCATGGACCTCAGTGTAGCGAAGCTGCTGCGAGGTGGA